TCACACGCCCCCACCTCTCACACGCCCCTACCTCTCACACGCCCCTCCCAGCAGCGTGTGCAGCCGCGCAGGCGCAGTAGCTGAGCGGCCGCTCCTAGCCCGAGGGATCCTGGGACTAGATCCGGAAGGACCTGTTCGGCGTCCCGGGCTAGGCCTCGAGTTCCAGGCCCTGGTCCCGCCTCAGGCCCAGGCCCGGTGTTCCAGGTCTCGCTCAAAGATAGCCTGGTGGCCAGCACGACGCTGCGGCGACAGCGGAGGGGGCGGCGAGCCTTTCGCTGAGGTTCCGGGGCTCGTCAGCGGGCGAGGCCTCGGAGCCGCGGTACGTGGCGCACCCCCCCGCCCGCGGCCCGGCCCCGGCGCGGAGCGGAACTGCTGCAGGAGCGGCCTCGGGCCCGCGGTGAGCTGAACCCGCGCATTTAACAGCCCTTGGGGGATGATCCACCCGCCTCAGCGGCGCGTCTGAGGCCCGCGCTCCCCGGCGGCCTTGCAGCCGATGACTGACCGGTGCTGACCGGGGTTGCTGGAGAGGCGGCCGCTGCCTTCGAGCCTCCGGTTTCCGCGAGGAACGTTGTTCCGCGAGGTCCCCGCAGGAGCCCGGCCTGCACATGAAAGTGTCTCTCGGTAGCGGGGAAATGGGCGTCTCGGCCCACTTGCAGCCTTGCAAGGCCGGGACCACCCGGTTTTTTACCAGCAACACGCACAGCTCGGTGGTGTTGCAAGGCTTTGATCAGCTTAGAATAGAAGGTTTGCTGTGTGATGTGACCCTGGTACCGGGTGACGGGGACGAGATCTTCCCGGTGCACAGAGCCATGATGGCGTCTGCCAGTGATTACTTCAAGGCGATGTTCACCGGGGGCATGAAAGAGCAAGATCTAATGTGTATTAAGCTCCACGGGGTGAACAAGGTCGGTCTGAAGAAAATCATTGATTTTATTTACACTGCAAAGCTTTCTCTCAATATGGACAATCTTCAGGACACGCTGGAAGCTGCCAGCTTTCTGCAGATTTTGCCCGTTCTGGACTTCTGCAAAGTATTCCTCATCTCAGGCGTCTCTTTGGATAACTGTGTTGAGGTTGGGCGAATTGCTAACACCTACAATCTTATAGAAGTGGACAAGTATGTTAATAATTTCATCCTGAAGAACTTCCCGGCTTTATTGAGTACCGGGGAGTTTCTGAAGCTCCCTTTTGAAAGGCTGGCCTTTGTGCTCTCCAGTAATAGCCTTAAGCACTGTACTGAACTTGAACTCTTCAAGGCTGCCTGCCGCTGGTTGAGATTGGAAGACCCGCGGATGGATTTTGCTGCAAAATTGATGAAAAATATTCGATTTCCACTGATGACACCACAAGACCTCATCAATTACGTGCAGACGGTAGATTTCATGAGAACAGACAATACTTGTGTGAATTTGCTTTTGGAAGCCAGCAATTACCAAATGATGCCATACATGCAGCCAGTGATGCAGTCAGACAGAACTGCCATCCGATCTGACTCCACCCACTTGGTTACATTAGGAGGAGTTTTGAGGCAGCAGTTAGTTGTCAGTAAAGAGTTAAGGATGTATGATGAAAGGGCACAAGAGTGGAAATCTTTAGCCCCCATGGATGCTCCTCGTTACCAGCACGGCATTGCCGTCATTGGAAATTTCCTTTATGTAGTTGGTGGTCAGAGTAATTATGATACAAAAGGAAAAACTGCCGTTGATACAGTTTTCAGATTTGATCCTCGATATAATAAATGGATGCAGGTGGCATCATTAAATGAAAAACGCACATTTTTCCACTTGAGTGCTCTCAAAGGACATTTGTATGCAGTTGGTGGGCGCAGTGCAGCTGGAGAACTGGCTACAGTAGAATGTTACAACCCGAGAATGAATGAATGGAGCTATGTTGCAAAAATGAGTGAACCCCACTATGGCCATGCTGGAACCGTGTATGGAGGCTTAATGTATATTTCAGGAGGAATTACCCATGACACTTTCCAAAATGAACTAATGTGTTTTGATCCAGATACAGATAAATGGACACAGAAGGCTCCAATGACTACAGTCAGAGGTCTGCATTGCATGTGTACAGTTGGAGACAAGCTCTATGTCATTGGTGGCAATCACTTCAGAGGGACAAGTGATTACGATGATGTTCTAAGCTGTGAATATTATTCACCAACCCTTGACCAGTGGACACCAATTGCTGCCATGTTAAGGGGTCAAAGTGATGTTGGAGTTGCTGTCTTTGAAAATAAAATTTATGTTGTTGGTGGATATTCTTGGAATAATCGTTGCATGGTAGAAATTGTCCAGAAATATGACCCAGAAAAAGATGAGTGGCATAAAGTTTTTGATCTGCCAGAGTCACTTGGTGGCATTCGAGCTTGCACCCTTACTGTTTTTCCTCCTGAAGAAAACCCTGGGTCACCTTCTAGAGAATCGCCTCTTTCAGCACCTTCAGATCATTCTTAGGTATAAAACCTTTGCAGTGCATCATGAATGCATTTTGTAGTTCTTCAATTGTATCTTCTTGTGATTGGTATAGTTATTAGACCAAAAGTTTAACTTAGGTTATTTGTCTTGTTTGGTTTAGGAGCTGAGGATGTTTATCAAACGATTAACATTCTGAAAATGTGTTCTAACATATACAGCACTTTTAACAAGTGAAAAATAATATGTAGAAAGTTAGATGTCCTTGTGGTATGGAATAACAATACTATGTGACTGTGTACAATATGTGACTGTAGTGATTGTGTAATTATGTCCATTGTACTTCACAGTTGAAATTTTCTTCTGGCTGGAGAATATCAAAGGGCCACCTGGTCTCTTCTATAGCAAACAATGTTGTTAAGTATTATTAGCTACCTCCGTCTTTGCATATGGTTTTTGACATGTCTGTTAACTGTTAAGTTTGTGTAGTTGCACTTGGAACATAGTGAAATTTTGTTGGCAAACAGGAGAAATAATAAAACTAGGAGAAATAGTCCTAAATCATAATTTGGTATCTCTTTCTGTAAAGAGAGAGAAAAGAGAAAATGTGTATAGACAGTACACATGCACACATGTAAATACATGTATGCATTCACGTAAATTTTTCAATTACCACTTAACTGTAATGAGATTGTTCTGAAATTCATTTTTTTCTTTCACAGAGCAGCTATTTCTATTTTTAGAATTCAGTAGCAGAGACTGTCCTTATAGTCATAAAATTTAGATAGCTAAGGGCTACAACATAAAATAGATGTCTGTTTTTGTCATTTGACAAATTTACTTTGACAAATGACATTTCTGCTTGGATAGTGTTTTCCTATAAAGTTGTTTTTATACAGGTTATTTAGCAAAGTTCAGGTTTCAGAGAATTGCTTTTACTCATTAACTTTACTGTTTTTTTCTACCTTTTCTGTAAACTTTGTTATATGAAAAAAGGAAAGAAATATTCTGAACAAAGCTGTAAGATTTTAAATTCAGTCCCCAGTCTACTCTTGACAGTCTACTCACTCTGGAGTGATTGCTTTAGTGCCACTGTAGCCCATTACGGTTTAGCTGTGTGACCTGCCTGAGGCTATGATCTGAGCAAGTAGAAGATACACTCTTTTATGCATCAGATCAGAAAAAAATATCCTCTGAGCTGTGTCTCAAGGACAGAACCAACCTCATATTCACTAAGAAGCCAGCTAAACAAATTCATAACACTTTTGACTTACAGGCAGTACTACAGAGGTGAACCTGATGGTTGAGAGTAGCATCAGGAAATTTTAGCAGGGCCTTACCAGTATATATATGCCTCTGCTTAGGAGATTGTTAAGAGTTTAGTTCAGGAACAACTTCCTCTATTGACACTTCCACAGTATAACTCAGGAGCCAAGGCAAAAGGCGTTGGATTCCAGGAAATCTGAACCTTACTGCCCACACAAGTGTTGGTTTATTTTAGTGCTTTTTATGATTTCTGCATTGGCAGAAATGTCATACTTTCTATGTTTTTGTTAATGACGCTTTTTGTTTTTGTTTTTTTAATTGAAAGTAGCACTTTTTTGAGTACCTTTACAAGATAGATAAAGAATTTGCTGTTAACTTTGTGTATTGAATAAGCAAGTACCCCAAATCATTTCTTTGGATTATTAATGATATTGACTATGTATTTTTAGTAGCTGTGTTTCCTCTTTAGTCAAATGTTCATGTCCTTTGCCTATTGGAATTGCTTTGTTTTTCATACGAAGTTATAGGGTTTCTTTATATAATAAATATAATTTAATTGGCATTTGTTTGCATTCATTTTTCCCCTCAGTGTGTTCTAGTTTTACAAAAATGGAGGATAGCCATTTGATTAATTTATCTTATTTTTTCATCTTGACCATTTTGGTGAAAATATCGCTATATTTTAAGTGCAGTATTACTTTTCAGAACTGATTCTAACAAGCCGAGATCATATTGCCCTGGTTGTCCTCTATTTTGTATGGGTTATTCTTTACATTTTTCTCTTATAGTATATTTGACCATGTTGCTTTATAATTAAGTTCTATTTAACCAGGTTAACTAAGTGTTGTATCTCACTGTACATATATGCCACACCACTCCTTTACTTCCCAGCTTCTGCAGTTGACAGTTTTTGATTGTCATACACAGTTCAATGCTATGGCAATACTACTAATTAAGCTAGAGCTCTTTCCTTAAACCAATAGAAATTTTAACTGATTTTGAAATGATTGGAAAGAGATTTTTTTTTTTTTGGTGGGTTGTGGGGCCTGAACTCTGGGCCTGGGCGCTGTCCGTCAGCTCTTCAAGGCTAGTGCTCTACCACTTGAGCCACAGTGTCACTTCCGGTTTTTTCTGTTTATGTGGTGCTGAGGAATTGAACCCAGGGCCTCATGTATACAAGGAAAGCACTCTACCACTGAGCCATCTTCCCAGCCCCAGGCTGTCATGTTTTTAAACAACATTCAAACTAGAAAAATAATTATATATAAGCACATGAAGTATTGTTAATATTTATTTTAGCTTTCCTGACAAAAAGTTTTCAAAAGGTAATATTTTTTAGATTTTCTGATCTAAAAATGAGTTAAGTCTGTTATAGAGAGTAGTAAAAAATAAAAGTAAGTGTAACTATACCTGAAGGTATTTTAAGGATCATTACATTAAGAATATTGGGCATATTGTAATCCCTTCAAAGTCGAGAAATCCACAGAGGCACGGTAGGTGACAAAAGGGAGTTTTATTTGGCCGGCCAATGTCTGCCTAATCCTGGGCTACCTCAAATGGGGCAAAGTTTATATATACCACAACCACATGCAGGTGGTAGTTTCACAAGCACAGAAGCTCATTAGGGGCTGGGATATTCCTCAGCTGCAGTCAGGGCCAGGCAGACAGCATTCTGCCGATGTAAATGAAGGTCTGAGATTTAGGACTGGAGGTGGGGATTATCAAAAATCCAAAACACTGAGTTCTTACAATATCATATGCACACATTTTATGAACATTTGTTAAATAGGTTTCAAATATGCCAGATCCTAAGCTAAAAGCTAAATGGTAAAAATTTAACTTTAAACAGCACAGATAACTATCATTTTTTATCTGTAGATAAGAAAAAATAAATATGCAAGGTGTTTATCCTAATTATCAAATACATGTGCATTAAGAAAAACTAATTCAACTGGAGTATGATGTGGAATAGGTTTTTTAAAGAGATAAAACATAGTTAAAGTTGCATCCTTGAAGGTATGGACAAGACATTGGAAGCCCAATCCTTTCCTACCTGCCATAAAGTGGGGTGAGATGGAATCTCATTGTTTTCCTTTGCATTTCTTTATGGCCAGGGATGATGAGCATTTCTTCCTGTGTTTATTGGCCATTTTTGCATCTTCTGACAAGTCTCTATTTAGCTCTTTGCCCATTTATTAATTGGGTTATTGGTTCTTTGAGGAGTTAGTTTCTTGAGCTCCTTGTGAATGCTGGATATCAGGCTTTATCAGAAACATAGGTGGCAAAGATCTATTTTAGTTTAAAAACTATGTCACTATTGAAACTTTTTAAAATCCCAAATAATCAATATTCTGTCTTTGGTGAAGTTCTTATTTGTTGACCACTAAGTTTTCTCTTCAAGGTAAGCCACAGCGCCAGTCACAGCTGCCCCTGATTGGGCTTGAATGAGCTGCAATCCTTCTAATGGGAGATGGAGCCCTGTGTCTCTTTTGAGACTCCCCAGAGGAAGTGCTGTGTGTTCAGGCAGTGCACTGGGATGAAGGAAAGAACAAGAAGTCTCTAAAACGTCAGCTCCAAGCTGTAAGAAGCCTATGTAGTTGTGTGCCATCCTTCCCCTTTAGAGCTATATGAATATCCCTTTGAACCAGGCCAGAATTCCCTTCTGACTTTGTCTGCTGGGATTTGCTTGGGCTGTAAGCAGGAGGCTTGGGTTATAACCTCATTCAGCAGTGATTACCAATCAGTCTATTTCCAGACAATTTTTACCAAAGTACTTTCCACCTCTGAAAATATCTTCTTCCTTTACTTCTCTTTAGGTATATCCTGATGTTGCCCATTGTTTGGACACATTTTTTAAAGTAAATGTGTGTCATCAGAATCTATTAACTGCAGACTGGGTTAAAAATCGTCTTTCTTAAGCTGGGTGCCGATGTCTCACGCCTGTAATCCTAGCTACTCAAGAGGCTGAGATCCGAGGATCATGATTCAAAGCCAGCCTGGGCAGGAAAGACCATGAGACTCTTATCTCCAATAAACCACTAGAAAACTGGAAGTGGTGCTGTGGCTCAAGCAGTAGAGCACTCGCCTTGAGCTAAAAAGCACAGGGACAGCGCCTAAGCCCAGAGTTCAAGACCCAAGACTGACCCCCCCCAAAAAAAAACAATCGTCATTCTTTCAGAGTGCTCATGCCTGTAAGACTAGCTACTCCGGAGGCTGAGATCTGCCCAGGCAAGAAAGTCTGTGATCCTCTTATGTCTGATTATCCACCAAAAAGCTGGAAGTGGACCTGTGGCTTAAGTGGCAGAGCACTAGCCTTAAGCAAAAACATTCAGGGACAGTGCCTAAGCCCTGAGTTCAAGCACCAGGCTGGGCACACACACACAAATAGTCATCACTGGTTTTAAAGAAGTGCTCTATTTATATTCTGTGAAGAAATAGAAGTTGAACACAATCTGGAAATAGGAATGAACATATAAATGGACTGAACATGCAGGAAATCCATAAAGTGGAGTTACTATCTCTGGCTCTGGCACCTGGCCTCAGCACCCAGCACACATCCTCAAAACCTCATGTCTTCCTCTCTCGGGTGGGATTCCTATGAGACCCTGGTCATTCTCTCCCTTCTCCTTGCTGCCAGTTCACAGACAGTTACTTTATGTCCTGCTCTGGTTTCAGCTCAATGCTTTTCCTAGACAGCAGAACATAAATAGAAAGCAAAGATCAATAATTTTTCTGTGTTTAGCAGAGCATCATTTATAAGTTCTCTCCCCATTTTCTTTCTTTCTTTTTTTTCTTTCGGTCATGGAGCTTGAACTCTGGGCCTGGGCGCTGTACCCGTGCTCTTCATCTCAAGGTGAGCGCTCTACTGCTTGAGCCACAACACCACTTCTGGTTTTCTAGTGGTTTATTGGAGACAAGAGTTTCACTGACTTTTCCTGCCCAGGCTGGCTTTGAACCATGATCCTCAGATCTCAGCCTCCTGAGTAGCTAGGATTACAGGCGTGAGCCACCGGCTCCGGGCTTCTCTTCCTCATTTTCATTGCAAGTGTTTCCTAAAGAAAACCAAAGACAGTTATGCAGTGTTGAAAGGCTACAAAAACTTCATAAAAGCCCTTGCCTTGGTGAGTAGTACAATGGGGCAGCCACCAACCTCACAGCTAGATTTTCAAGAAGATACACAAAACTCCCATCTAAGAATGGAGATTCTTTTTAGACTGCAGAGAATACTTTTTGGTGATCATATTGCTAATTTCTATGCTTAACTGAGAATACATACCATAATAATATTGCCCTATACTTCCCATTAGTTGCCTGAAACCCCCCATTGTTCTAACTATGATATCTGGAAGCATGGCTTGAATGGTAGAACACTAGCCAAACACCCACAAGTATTAAAGTTTTAAAAACAAGTCTAAAAGGAGATCTGTATAAGACTAAAGAACAAACACATTTCACATGGAAGGTGACTATGAGTATATTCAGTACAGAAATGGCAGCTTGTAGAGAAAAATCTAGAAGAAAATTCAGTCATAGGCAAGTGAGATGGACTGTATCATTTTCTTGGTTCTTCTGCTAACTGTATATTATCATCTTTACTTTTTAGATAATATTGGATTTTTTCTCATTTTTCCTTTTGAAATTACAATAACCATCTTTCCTTACTTGTACAATATCTAGAGTTCTCCCCATTCAATCCTTATTAATGTTCCCCACAAAACCATACAGCTGGTTTCTCTTTTCTGGTGTCCCTGGTCAGTGATTTTTATTTGAGAGTATAGACCACAAACCAAAAAAGCAAAACTCGAAAGTTCCTGCTTCATCATAAACTCGTAGATAAGGGGATTGTTTTTTTTCTTCTGATGACTATTTTTGGAAATGAGTTAATATTTCTGTTATGATGATGCAAGAGTAAGCTGTCACTGAAAGGAGACAGAAAGCAGAATTTATTTTCCAGCTCCATCCAGCAGATAACTTGGCAATGGAGGAAGAAATGCCCATACAGTGACACTTGAGAGTATCTGATAATATTGCCATGGGACGGGGAATGACTCTAACCAAGAGATGAATAAAGCTGAGATGTCTTTCCTATCCTCCCCCTCCATAGGAGCAGACTGTCCAGAATCTTGAGGTAATTTTGAGATCAGCTCAATAAGGCACATTCTAAGGGGTGAGATAACAGCACAACAGTAAGCAGTGAGTAGTGTCACAAAGCACTCCTGCCTTTTGACAGGACTACTGCAGAGGGCCAGACATGCTCACAACTCTGTCATTCTTCAGACATAAGCACTCAACAAATAGCCGTTTTTACCTGGCCTCAGCCCTTTTCCATGCACTCATACTTCCTGCACCCCGTCACCTCCCACAGAGCTCTAGGATTCCCACACCATTTGACTGAATGTAAAAGTTTTACAGAGAAAGATCACCACCTGTTGGCCAACATAGATCAAGACGACATAAATAGAAAGCCACACACACAAGATCAACAGCCAATGATTCCACATTCTGATTCCATTATGTAGAGATGACATCAGGAGACTCAGAAATTTTAAAGTGCAAATCTAGAAACCAGAAGAGGGTGGAAAATTCAAGAGCAGCTGAAAAACACACAAGGAGACTAGACCTGCCTAGGGCAACTTCTGGAGCTTGGGTTTTTCTAAGGAATGGAACACTGTATCAACTGTCAAGTAGCATAAGAGCTATTTCCAATCAGAAGGAAAGGAGACGGAGGAAGATTCTGAAGTCCTAGAGTCATTACACTGACAAAGCCCACAACCACAATGCCCAGCACAGGTGGTACTCATACCAGACAGCAGCCTTCAAGCTCACAGAGTTCTTGGAAAGGTTAGGGTTATTCTAGTATCTGTCGTAAATTTACATTTAACTCTAAGGTCATTCAGTTCCTCACGGTGCTGAAAAATAATATTGGTGATGCCAATAAAACCCAGGGAATCTCTAAAATTCTGTTCATAATTCTATTCAGCTTCTTAAAAAGACAAACACTAGAAAGGCACTTGGGGCTCACACCTATAATCTTACCTACATAGAAGCCTGTGGTCTGGGGATCACAATTTGAAGCCAGCCCAGGAAGAAAAGTCTGTGAGACTCCATCATCAAAAATAACTGACGGAAGTTGTGCTGTGGCTCAAGTTGTAGACAGCTCGCCTTGAGCTGAAGATCTCAGGGATAGTGCCCGGGCCCAGAGTTCAAGCCCCATGACCAACCAAAAAAACAAAAAAAAACCCAAAATTAACTGGCAAAAGCATGGTTGGAGGCATGCCTCAAGTAGGAGAGCACCATCTGAAGAAGAAAAGCAAGTGTGAGGCCCTATCAGTAAAAGAAAACAAGACAACAATAACAACAACAAGAAAACAAACACTGTGACTACAATTCTTGCACAAAAGGTTACAGGGAGAGTATTGTAGTAGTTAAGCAAGAAATGGACCAGGGCCTTCCCAGCAGAACAGGCAGTCATTTGGGTTTTAGAAGATCTTCTATTCTGATGGCAGCTAAGCAGTCATGAGAATTCATTTACTTAACATAGTTGAAGAGAATATCTAAGTGGGTCAGTTCTCATTGTTTAATTCCAACTAGTTCCTTTGGCACCTAATTAGGCTTTCCTAGAAACTGGAACCATTCCTGAGGATTAGGGGCCACAAAACAACATCAAATCTATACAAATACTTTAGAATCATTAATATGAGTAACATAAGAGCTATTGCTATAGCACATTAGAGTTGACCATGAAGCCAGTTATGATAGAACCTTAAAAAAATCAGAGACATACGTATCCAAAACATTTTTTTTATCTTTTACAGAATCAGTAAAGGGTCATACAGTCATATAAAATTAAAATTTCATCTTTGAACAGAAACTCTTAATAGAATCCAGTAAAGAGTCATGATAGAGTCTTTAAAAATCAAAGAGACATCTAAACTCAAAACGTATGTACTGTATTTCAACAGAAACAGTAATGGAGAAGAGTAGAGGGTCATCATAAGCCCCACTTGTTCTACTGGTAGAACACCATCCCAACCACACAGGCAGCCATCAAAGCCCCAGAATGCTCAGTGTTGCCCATGGCAGCTCTAGAACATTACAGTCATGACTGTGCGGTGTGTGGCCAGAGGAGAGGAGAAGCTCCACATGACCCTGTGCATGTGCTTCATTTGTATTTGTGCACAGAAGCCAGCAGGTCAACATGCCAGCAATCGCTGAATTTCATTTCAGATCATATCACATTTGCAAAACCAAAACCATATTTCCATAAGCCTAATAAACAAATAATAAAAAAGATAAATCTGGGTAAAAAGCACCATATTTTTGGTTCCAAACTACAGGGGAAAAAATGGAACCACAATACCCACCTGTAGCAATTGAGTTGAGATTTGAACTCAAGCTAGAATCTACTTGACAACCACTTCACTTCTTCCATAAACACACGTAGTGTTATATACCTTGGTCATACAAACCTTCTTGGCACAAACAACTCTACTATTGAGTGAAAAGATAAAAAGAAGCCATGTTTGAGAATGAGATCAGCAAGTGGGAGAAAGAGAGACTTCCAGGGAATCAGTAGGGAACAAAAGGAAACAAGTTAGCATCCACGTGGAGCTGGGACAGGCACAGAAGGAAATTTGTCCAGTGCTTTTAAAAAAATATATAAAAACAATAGTAAAAGAAGTAGACTTCCAAAATTCTGCAGTTGATAATTTAATGAAGATGTTTGAATATATTTCATTGAAGACATTACTCAAATTTTACAATTTTTCTGATAGAGTTTGAGCTCAAATCCTGGTGCTTTCTAAGAAAGTATAATACCTTACCTTCCCCTACTCCCCCACCCCCCACATACAATAATTTTCAAGTGAAGCAAAATATCTTCCTTTTACTTATAGTCCTATGTGGTAATCAAAAGGCATTTCTTCTGATTTAGTTTACCATAAAACCAGTCTGTTCTACCTGCTTATACCTCCCCTGTTGACCTTACATCTTAACTCTGTTGAACCAAATGTGCCCCTTCTTGTAACATGTCACAGAAGCAGCCATTTCCCCATCTTTGTGCAATTCTGCATTTCTTGTGGTCTTGTCACTGTAGCCCACAGTCCTTAACTTTTCTGCATTGAATTTTTTTGGGGGGTCCAGTCGTGGGGCCTGAACTGTGGGCCTGGGAGCTGTCCCTCAGCTCTTCAGCTCAAGACTAGTGCTCTACCACTTGAGCCACAGTGCCACTTCTGGCTTTTTTCTTTTTGCTTATGTGGTGCTGAGGAATCGAACCCAGGGCCTCAGGCATGCAAGGCAAGCACTCTACCACTGAGCCACCTTCCCAGCCACCCTGCATTGAATTTTTTTGGCTTATACTTTCCATTGCGACAACAAAGCTCACTTCATTTTCATGACAATTGAAATTCCAATTTTTTTTTTAAGCCACAAACCACAAGGAAGGCTTGTTTCTATGAAAGTAGAAAATAGGGGAAAAAGTAAACAGAGAAAATTTTAGAAAAAACCCTTTGGCTTTCATTTCCTTCCACCTACTTATGTTATTTTATCATGAATTACAGCATAATAAAAGGACAAGTAGATGACCTCTGACCATTAAACTATCATCACACCAAAAAAGGTGAAAAAGTTAAACTGAAAATTTAGAATTATTTCTCCCTGCAAAATACTTCTTTGTAGTATTTTAAGAATTAGGCAGACTAAAAAGCTACCAGCACAACTATGTTTATTGTAGCATTATTTATGGAACCAACCCAGATGTCCTTCAGTAGATGAATTGGTCAAGAAAATGTGGTATATATACACAATGGAATTCTATGCCTCCATCAGAAAGAATGACATTGCCCCATTTGTTAGGAAATGGAAAGACTTGGAAAAAATTATATTAAGTGAAGTAAGCCAGGCCCAAAGAAACATAGGTCCCATGGTTTCCCTTATTTGCCATAACTAGTATATGTCTGAGCCAAGCAGAAAAGGCCAGATAAGTTGATGTTAGGGGAATGAACCCCAAGGTAAGTATTCAAATGTTTTTGTTTTTTTTTCCTCTCATGCAATTGTTTCTAACATATTTATAAGATGATTTCTATGTTGCTTTTTGTATGTCCCTCCCCCACAGTATAACCCCTGCTTTCACTGTATTTGATGTTGGTATAATTTGTGGAGGGGAAGGGAAAAAATAAATCGTTTAACTAGGGATACGGGTGGACCCATTGCAACAATGAGATGTACAAGCCATTATGTAGAAAAACGAACTTTACAACTTTGGTGGGGGGGGGGCGGATCAGGTGGGAGGAGAGAGGGAGTATGGGAAGGGATGAGAAGGAGAAACAAAGGAGGAGGCAACAATGCTTGATAAGAAATGTACTTGTTATCTTGCCCATGTAATTGTAACTCCTCTGTACGGTATTCTCACAATAAAAAAAATTAAAAAAAAGAATTAGGCAAAGTAAAAGAAAAATACTAGTAGAATGTAGGTCACTAGCTCCTGTGTAAGTAACTGCCATTGAAGAACATACCATCACTGAGTCATGAATTCCTATCTCAGAAATGTCGAAACTCAGTATTGAATTAGACTACTGATCAAAAATAATATTGAAATTAAAACAAAAGTATTGTCCATAAAGATAACACAAGGACACATTTGAAAATTTCAGTACACCCATATAGGCAAAACAAATGTATGCTATTAGCAATGAGGACTCAACACTTAGATACATGGGAATGTGTTAACTATTGAAAACAAAGAACCTTCATATGATTTCACGGGGCAAGGGCGATGATCTTCTAAGATCTATTATTTGGACTAGCAGGATAATATCACCTCTAGCAAAACAAGTCCTAAAGATAAGGCAGTGGGCAGATTACCATCAGAGAGGGAGGCCAGTGACCATGGCTAGTAGACTTAGAGAGTCTAGAGACTCCAGAGCAGAGAGGCCTTCTACACATAACAACTACCTCGTGAATGAATGGGAATGGAGAAAAGGAGACCTCATTAACACACAGTCACAGCGACTTGCATAAATGTGTTCTAGAAGGAGAAAAATACCAGCACCAAAGTTCTGAAGCCAGTATAGTCAGCAATCTCCTTGGGGAAGAAAATAGCTAACCATAGTCTGTTCTTACTTCTAAAGAGTTTCTTTACTTGGATGATACAGTGAATCCTGAAACAATGATTCAACCCTTAGTATCAATGGTTCTCATGTTAAAAATAAAGGAAGGATGGATGTCAGGGTCAAGGATAAAGATTTGTTCCTGCAAGCAAGAGCATTGGTGACACACACGTTAAGAAAAGTGTATGCATGCACGGGAGGGTAGGTGAGTCTTTACATACATCCATGTGCACATTCCGGACTTCAGGCCACCAGATGCTTCTCAATAGATTAGGGGTAGCATTTGGGTTGCACAGTTACAGTTCACTTGGAAAATCCATGTCTTAGTGTTTTAAATTTCAGGCCACATGGCAAACATGTCAATAGAAACAAAAAAAGGAAGTGAAAATGCAGAGAAAATGAAATGTAGAGAAAATGAAAATTGGGTTTTCTCTATAAAAATTGATCAGAGCCAGAAAATCTTCACAAACCCCAGGGTCCAAGGTTGATTGAGACCCCAGCTCAGCCAGGCCAGAAGCCTCCTCACGTCCTCATGGCTCTCCTGCGCCCTCTACTGACTGCTATGGTGCTGTGCAGCTTTGGACCTGTTGCACCTCTGGGCTGTCACCTGCCTCAGAACTCTCTCCTGCTTAGCAGGAAGACCTTTGAAGTACTGGAGCAAATGAAGAGAATCTCCCCTGTCTTGTGTCTGAAGGACAGAAGGGACTTCCAGTTCCCCAGGGAGATGGTGAAGCTCAGCCAGATGCAGAAGACCCAGGCTGCGTCTGTCCTCCAGATGCTGCTGCAGCCCATCTTCAGTCTCTTCAACACAGAACAAGCCACAGCCGCCTGGAACCCTGCCCTCCTTCGTGAACTCCGCACTGAACTCCTTCTGCAACTGCAGAACCTGAGCACCTGTTTAGTCCAGGTGACCAGAGAGGAAAAGTCGGTGCTGAAAACTGAGGGTCCAGCACTGGCCTTGAGGAGGTATTTCAAAAGAATCTTTCTCTACCTGGAAGAGAAACAGTACAGTGACTGTGCCTGGGAAATTGTTAGACAAGAGATCACAAGAGCCTACTCTTCATGAAGAAACTCTCAAGCAAGATGAACAAAAATGGGTTTCATCTTGATGTGATTCTTCTGGACTGTTCTGCCATAACATATAACATTGGTTATTTTGAAAGGCTCTTCCTTTGGCATGAGGAACATATTGTTGAAAGTTATGCAGCAATACTTCAACAATATGAAGTACATGTATTTTAGAAGTAGTCATCTCTAAAAAGAATTCATCCTTGAAGCATCATTCCTCAGAGATAATTGCCCTGCTATTATTTGTTCATTTATTTATTTATCCTAATTTTTCTTTCTGCTGTACTTATTTATTTGACATATAATAACTTGTTTATCTTTGTTATTTATTTATTCAGTTCAATAAAACATTTACTCTATTCGCTTAATTCCTATCACCAAAATTGTCACAGTCCATCACCACTGAGGCAAGTACAATGACAGGACACCTGGGCAAAAAGTTGAGGTTTTGGAATGCCAGGGGACCCAAAGTGATTCCTGCTCTTGGATCCTGGGATCCCAATAAAAAGCATTCTTACAGAGTGTAGTACAGTGGGAGGGGACTGCAGATACATGCAAAGGTTAGGGTTATAACCATTAACATGGGAGGTAATTTGCACACAAGTGAGAATTGACTTCATTATCTTAGGAAGCAGGGGGAAGCAATAAACATCCCAGCACAGCCTCTCACCTTATCTCCAAGGTGTTAAGCTTTTAGTGCCCAAATGCATCTAGCTTAAACACAGGTAGGGCAGTAATTTCTACCTCTGTCTGCCTCTACTGTTTGGCCTTTCCTGGGCACAGCTCTCAGCCTTCTGAATGCTGTCAGGGATGGCATTGTGATCTCCTTTTTTTCATGTATGAGTACTTTTAATGTTGTATACATCAAATTACAATAGACAACTCTAACAAAACATAGCCCCTCAGTTGTGAACAGCACAGTGCATTACAGTAAACAGAGTTTATATTCCACCATCAAGTGGGGCTCACCCATTAGCTCACTTTGTGATGGATCATTAAGAATATCTTCAGGGCTGGGAAAGTGGCTCAGTGGTAGAACGCTTGCCTTGCATGCCTGAGGCCCTGGGTTCAATTCCTCAGCACCACATAAGCAAAAAGAAAAAAGCCGGAAGTGGTGCTGTGGCTCAAGTGGTAGAGCGCTAGCCTTGAGCTGAAGAGCTGAGGGACAGCATCCAGGCCCAGAGTTCAGGCCCCACGACAGGACCCCCCCCCAAAAGAATATCTTCAAATCCAATACTCTCATCATTACCCTTCGAAATTTCCAGTGAAAGGTTGGAACTTGAAAGAAATGGAAGACGCTGAACCTGCTGCACTGCTTTGAATTCCATTTGTAATTTCAGTGGAGCATATAGACCCTGGATATTCCTCAGTGTGGCAAGGTTCATTTTATCTTGGTTGAGCTGGAAATTTTTTTTCTGACAACAATTTTTGTGTAAGGCTCCCAAAGATTAGCAAATGGACAAAAATATGACAATATGTCTAAAATAAGTTTTTGTATAGTGAAAATTATGATAACAAAATTAATAGATATTTTCCATGATGGTAGAAAATATTTGAAAAGTATTTATTTGATAAGAAGTCAACACCAATAAAATAATCCAGTTTTCAAAATGACCAAGTATCTGATACACATTTCACAAAGGAATAGGTACAAAGGAAATAATAGGTATGAAAACGTTCAATATTGCTTATTGTTAGGAATGAATAACCCAAAAGGAGATATCCTCTCATTCTACTCAGAATGTTCATTACCAAAGATAAAAAGTTACAAATCCTGTCAAAAATACACAGAATACATGATTTTATGTTCTCTTGGTGGGAATGTAAATTAGAGAAGCTATTCCAGAAAACTCTATGTAGAGTTCTTAAAATATTGAAAATAGAACAACCATATGATATTGCTACTGCACTAATAGGGCATGTAACTAGGGAAATAAAATGTTTTCCTTTTCAAAAAAGTAGCTACCTATCTATGTGTGCACTGTTCACACAGCCAAGCTATGACATCAGTGGTGATGTCTATAAGACTAAATTCTTATTAAAAACGTGTTTTATACACACTCACACACACACACACATAAACACACACACAATGGAACATTGCTCAAGAACAAACGAGTCAATGCTGATGTTTATAGCAACATGGATGGACTTAGAGACATTATCTTTGTAAAATAAACTAAGCACAGGAGGACAATGCCATATGCTCTTGTGGCTAGGTGGGAGTAAAGCACTTCATCACATAGAAATTCTGTTTAGATTTATGTGTGATGTGGAACAGCTCAAGGAGAGCTCTAAGTCTCCATTTACATAAAATGTAAATGGGTGCAAACTGTTTATACCATTATTGTTACTACTAAATGAAACCATGCATTTTAGTGTTTAGCAGGATGTCTTCCTTGGAATAATATGCAGAACATTGTGGGCTTCTAAACTACTTTTCTTCAGTGTATGAGACTATAATTTGCCATTCTTGAAAATCCTAAAAGTTCTGTTTCCTATTTCTTAGTAAGTGACCTCGAAAAGAGTAAATGCAAGATGGGAGAATTGTTTCATATCAGTACAGATGCTGAAGTGTTGTCACTCTCCTTGGTAAAAATGACCTACATATCAGCAGTGAAGAACTGCAGGCTAGCATAAACAAGGCTAACTGGGAATAAACACCTGAAGAGATGTGCAGAAATCCCTTGAGGTTTAGTTACTGACTGTGGCCCTGACACCTTGCCTCCCCTGCCCTCAGCATCCCATCTCCATTCCCACAGCACCTTCCTCTCTTGGGTGGAGTTCCCACAGGACCCTTGCCATTCTCTCCCTTCTCCCTACTACCCATCCACACCGAGTCCCTTTCTGTTTTGGGGAGGGCTCAGAGCAACCCTAAAGAGCAGAACACTCAAGTACAAAGCAGAAGTTCTTCTGCTAGGGAGCTCTCCTTTCCTTAATTTCTCTTTAACTGGATTGGATAATAGCTAGTACAAGGAAAACACGGGGAAGCAAACAGTGAGTGAAGGTTGAGGGAAACTCAGGAATGAACTTTCTAAGTGATCAAAACTGATAATGACAGCCAGCCAGACTCAGGGCAGTGCTCTGACCACGCAGAAATCCCACCACCATACAGGGACTGCTCTGCACAATTCACAGCAATTATTTTGGGCAGCTGTGATTATATTTACTATTAAGTAGGATACCCATTTTCTCATATGCTCATAATAATAGGTAGCAGGATTATAAGCTCTTCCATATCAGTGACTACTTGAAATATATGACATTAGTTAAAGTACATATTAATAATTCTTGGAAGAGTTTTTGAGAAGAATGAGGCATAGACACCCTTCCTTCCCATGGAAGAAGAGTCTGGCTTTATATCCAGTCAGGAAATGGCAAGTTGGAGAAATAAATGGCAGACATGCTAGTCTCCTATACTTATGTTAAACAGATGCTGTATTCTCTTGTTCTTTCTGTTATCTGGCAGAACTTTCAATTTCCACTTTCTTTTCCTAGACTGAGTTCGTTATTATGGTATCATAACAACTGCTTCCTCTCCCATTCATGGGTCCTAATCTCTCCTCAGCCCCTCCACATGAAGCTAATTTCCATCATCTCTGATTTCTCTTCCTTTGTGGTTTCTGGCTACTCAGTTTCTTCCTAAGATTTGGACAATTATGAAAGGGATGGTAACACTGATCTAGACGCGTTTTCCTCATTAACTGACTCAACTGGAGCTCCTCTGTACAACTACTAGAAGATAATTGTTTGAAATGTCACATTCAAACAAAAGAATTCAATTACAACTAAAAGTTGATGGGAAGTTCTTCATTTGTTAGAAATGACTGTAAGGAGAACAACTTCTTGTTCTGATGAATATTTTGAGGATGGGGCAATGTCCCTGTGATAGTGATGTAAGAGTAACGTTAAAGTTTTAACAAACAGGAGGAGTTTCTGATGCTGAAAGAGTTGCACGGAAACAGCGTCCCCTACTGGCCAAGTCAAGGAAGACAAGATCATGGCTGTGGAGCCTAGTTAGGTTCTATGGAAGGTTTCTAATCACAGCCAAGATTTTGCTAAGCCTTATTGACTTAACTTCCTTAGGTGAAGAGGACGATGGTGGTAAGTTCTCACGTTTTCTCCCCAGTTGGTGCACTTGGTACTGAGCAGGCATATGCTGAATTGGGAGCATTCCATTCCACCAAAGAACATCAAGGGCACATAGCAATTTGGAATCTCTGAATTAAAATGTGCTGTTAAATGTGTGAACGGTAAGGGTTCTTATTGAACAGCCGGTAAGAGTGAATCTTGAAGCCGATGAGGACAGATTCTTCAACAAATCAAGCAAAGATATCTTTTCTTTTAAAGGAAATATCAGTGGTGACATAGAAAACTCACAAATTTTACCTCCTCTGATTCCATGTACAGCAGGCAACTGAGCTCTTAGGCTCAAGTGCATCATCCTGGCGTCCCAGCCCCCATCGTGGTTCCTGAGAGCACAGTGATGAGTAAGAATTGCAGCCTTTGCCTCTCTAGGCTGCTCTGTGGTCTGTGGTCAGAGGGGAGGTTCCCTGTGACTCCTTGTGGGTGGGGGTATTTGTGGCAGCAGTATATGGGCAGATAGGCCAAAAACTCTGCAATGATGGAGAGAGTATTCCAATTTTGCAAAACCAAAATGGAATCCATTAAAGTATGAGAAACAAAATTCTGAGACAAAGATGTAGGGGTAATCTTCTGTTCTGAGGTCAATCACTGACAAATAGAGACATACATAATCAAGCATAGCTCTTAGGGTGACATTCGAGCTTAAGTCAGAAGCTCTGTGGTAAAGGCTTCTATGAATGTGACTCAGGCATGGCTCATTTTATAATATCTCAACAACAGTCATTTTTCTGACTTCATGCACATCAGCTTTGGCCTTTTGGACTCTCCACTTGTGACAGAGAGAGTTTCTAGTTTCCTGTTTTGAGAAATTAGCTGCGTTGATTCTTCCTCATTTATATTTTGATATTTGGG